TGGGGTACATATACTCTGGAGGATCTGCAAAGACATGGAGAGCTTTAAGGGAATCAAATCTGCACATATACATACATACACTCTTTCTAAAACTGATCTGCCAGAAAAAGTGTTTGTGTTCTGTGAGTTCTCCTTTCCCAATGATCCTTTCACATAGCTTTTTTCTCACTTAACAAACTTTTACCAAGTACATCTTCCTGGGTTGGAAATGTCTTCAAGGCACCAAATGGACAACTACAGGCAGCCTTAACCCTGCGAGTCCCATGAGAGCAGAAGAGCAGCAGCAGCTTCAGACCCAAATGGAGAGAGCACTGCTTTGTTTCTTCATCTGGGGACAATTCAGGGCAAGTCCCTATGCCTCATCTCTTGCCAGAGGGGTGGGTATTTACACATTTAGTTAAGTTGACAAATGAAGTCAGTCTTTTCCTGAAAGAATGACAGATTTGGCTGTCTCATTTGTTAATGAGGACTTTTAGATTCTATGGCAGAAGTTAAAATAATTTGGGTTCTTTGTTGGAAAGGCAATGTGATGTGGGAAAATGGCACAAGCTTTGTTCATTCCCAACCTGTTAAGCCTCAATTTTCATAGCCCTAAACTGAAGGTAATCCTAAACCCTGTAAACTTATAGGTATACAGACATAGCTTAGTGCTTGGCAGCACAGCACTGGCATTAATACCTGCAGGGTGTTGGCCTACATGACCCCAGCAGAAGGCACTCAGTGATTCTCAAAGAATTACATTCCATCTTTACCATCAAGTGAGAAAGCTTTCCTTTATACACCAAAACAAAATTATCTTTTAATTCCATTTCCATAAACTTAATTTTTAAATTTTTATTGTTTATTAAAAAAAAAAGACTATATATATTTATAAGGCCTAGTTACAGAGATACAGGAGAGACAGAGAGAGAGAACCTCCATCCACTGGTTCACTCCCCACATGGCTGCAACGATCATCACTGGGCCAGGCTGAAGCCAGGAGCCAGGAGCTTCCTCCAGGTCTCCCATGTGGGTGCAGGGGATTAAGCACTTAGGCCATCCTCCACTGCTTTCCCTGGTGCATTAGCAGAGAGCTGGGTAGAAATTAGAGCAACCGGGACTCAAACTGGTGCCCATATGGGATGTCGGTGCTGCAGGTCATGACTTTAACTCACTGCACCACAGCACCAGCCCCTTCCATGCTGAGGTACCACTGTATGCAGGGTATCAAATATATAGTCACCTATATTTTCATCTTTGGGTTGTGTGAGGAAAATCACATATTGGAACTCCATTCATTTACTGCTTTTTTATGTGAAAATAAAGTTTTTGACCCACCATCTATGGAACACATTTTGAAAGATTTTCTTTTTCAGTAATGTGAATGGATTTTAGCTAATTTAGTCATGCCCTCCTACCTGAAATTCTCTAAAAGAAAAAAAATGGATGGCTATGTAAGTCAGGAATATAGGTTATATCCATAGACTGCTATATAATTAGTAATGAAAAAAAAAAACTAGCTAAGTTAATATTCAGCTAGAATCTCATTTCTAGGGAATCATCTGACATACAAATAGTAAATCCTTGATATTCAGAATTCATCCAAGGACCAACAGATTTGGTGTCATCTGGGAGCTGAAAATTAAATTATTATTTTGTCTAAAACAACTCCTACTCAAAGAAGGAAGCTGGGCTAAGGAGCCTCAACACCATATGACCATAAACAACTAACCTCAAACTTCAACCTTCAAATACTCCTGAATACAAGGCAAGAGACAGTGATTTAGGGTAAGCCCATTTACCACTATCAGAAGAAGTGCTAATTCTTCTAAATTCAGTTGTATAATCAGTCTCTCTCTTGAGCTCTCTCACACAAATGTACACAACCACACAATGCAGAACAGCATTGCAAGCATGGAACTGGCTCTGAAAAAGCTCCAGCAGGCCCTCCTGCCCTTAGTTCTCAAGTGTTCCTCGTCCTGGGTTGATGGCTAAAGGTGTAGTTTTTTTTCTGTGTAAACATGCCCATTTCTGTTCCTGACAGGCTTTACCACACTAGCTCTTACTATCCTATGGTGCACTCATGGGAGTGGCCTGAGGAAACACCAAGTTATTGGGGAAAAGGTTGTACAGAAAAACTTAAAATGCCATATTTGAGTAGTCAATTTTATGTTCCCAGTGTCTACCCTGTAAGACGGAACTTGCATAGAAGAGGGGGATGCCAGCCAATTTACAGAAACAATGAAAAAGATGCTGTGGCTGAAAACACTGAACACAATGGAGGCAACTAAAATTAAACCTTTTTTGTCTGTTATTGCACTGCCAAAATTTATTAATCACAATTCTATTTTAATGCTCTTTTCATTATACTGAAAAACAATCTTCCCTCCCTTATGTCCCAACAAAACATGCCCCTTCTCATAAAAATGAAATAGTATAAGCTATTACTTAATAAGATTCAAAGAAATCATAAAAAGCTTCTGTGAAACTGTAATAAAACTGTAAGAACTGTGATGTAAAGAGGGGAAAATTGTTTCACTGCAGTAATGCTCAGTGCTTTGTCTAAACCATTAAGTCCTGGGGCCAGCGCTTTGGCCTAGTGGGATGACTGCAGTGCCGGCATCCCATATGGGCGCTGGTTCGAGTCTCAGCTGCTCTACTTCCAATCCAGCTCTCTGCTGTCTCTGCTATGGCTTGGGAAAGCAGTAGAAAATGGCCCAAGTCCTTGGGCCCCTGCACCCACATGGGAGACCTGGAGAAGGCTTCTGGCTCCTGGCTTTGGATCCGTGCAGCTCTGGCAGTTGCAGCCAGAGTGAACCAGAGGATGAAAGACCTCTCTCTCTCTGCCTCTCTGTAACTCTGCCTTTCATATAAATAAATAAATCTTAAAAACAAACAAACAAACAAACAAAAAACATTAAGTCCGATTCTAATGCTTAGGTGGGAAGAAGAAACATTTTGCCTAAGCTTCTTTAACTCTTTCTCCATGGAAGTGGTTTCCCCATGGACCCTGACACCGGGTTGTCATGTCCCCCGACCATTCAGGAAGCTGCTGCCATGGTTCTCCACTCAGGCTCCCAGGTGTCTCAATAAGGAGTGAGACCCAGCCAGGAGCCATGGATAAGCCTCTTGCCAGTACTATGGATGAGATCATCATCAACTCCACCCCAGCATCCTGCCTAGCTTTTCTGAATTTCACAGGCCACAGCCCTGGGGCCAGCCTCCTGTCAGGTTTCAAAACAGGAAAAACTAAAAGTGGATCCTCCCCACAAAAACATTTGGGAATTCTTACATTATATAATTGTTTTAGACATGTTCCTCTGGTGTAGTATAATACAGTCTTTAGCATCTAAAAAAAGAAGAAAAGACTGTTTCCAAGACTGCCCCAAATTAGTTTCCTTTGAAAATGACTCCTCAAATCCTTAAACAATTTTTATTTTGACAGGTAGAGTCACAGACAGTGAGAGAGAGAGACAGAGAGAAAGGTCTTCCTTCTGTTGGTTCACCCCCAAAATGGCCGTTATGGCTGGTACACTGCACCGATCCAAAGCCAGGAGCCAGGTGCCTCCTCCTGGTCTCCCATGCAGGTGCAGGGGCCCAAGCACCTGGGCCATCCTCCACGGCCCTTCCGGGCCACAGCAGAGAGCTGAACTGTAAAAGGAGCAACCGGGACCAGAACCCGGCGCCCACATGGGATGTGGGCGCCACAGGAGGAGGATTAACCAAGTGAGCCACGGTGCCGGCCCCCTTAAACAAATTTCTAAAAGAAAGTTAAGTCACAAGAATACATTCCTTGGATAATTAATTCATCCCTAATAGTAAAGATATATGGATAGCATTATAAACCTTTAATGACTGATCAGAAAGCAAATATTTATAAAAGCTTATCTTTTATATTTTCACTTCTGTGTAACAATACTGTAGAGCTGTAATCACGCCCTCTATAATCGGATCATTCCCAGTGTAATTAAGAGTGCCACAAATTTAAAACTACGACCTCACTACCAAGGGAAGAGATAGTTTATACTCGTCATGTAAAATGCCCTCGTTTTGCTGACAAATTTAAAACATAAAAGAAAAAATAGCATGTTATAATAGTCATCATTTAGGAAGGAATCATTACGTTCTTGGTAAAAGTTTCTGCTTCAGGGTTTCCTGGATTAGACTCTCATCGATAAACTCTGTCCTACCAAACCCCAGGCTATTTCCAGATGTTATAAAAACTCCAAATTCACTCAGATGCTTCTCTGTTCCCTTTATTTAACTGCTATATACCATGAGGATAAGCATATGTACAGTCTAGCATCATGCTAATATAAATCTAACTGACACAGCGGTCTATCTGTGAAGTAAATTACTTCCAAGCAATGTGAATACAATTTTACCTTAACTAAGAATCAAGGAGTTGAACACACAAAGATTAATGCAACACATATTTTAACAGGTTCAAGAAAACCATTTGATAAACATAACCATAATAATAATAAAAAACAGCAGCAACAATGAACACTCATCAAGTTTGCCATGAGCCAGGACTGTGAGAATCACAGATGAATTATCTCATTTAATTTTCATAAAAAGCCCCTGAGGTTAATATAATCACTGTCCCTAGTTTCCATGAGAAAATTTGAGTTTAGAGATGTTTAATAAGTAACTGCCCAGGTTAATTAGCTGTTAAGAGTAGGTTAAGTCTTGAAGCCAGATCTAACTGAATCTCAAGCTTATCCCTACTTTCACAGCCTTCAGGCTAGACTGCCTAATGATTACATGTTATGCCCGCAATTTGTAAGCCAAATAATTCTTGCTCTTACTCTTCTTGTGAACTGCACCTGTTACTAATTGTTAGTAGCCAAATAAATAAACAAGATGCCTGTTTATCAAGATTCCCTCCCTCATCAAACAGGAACTCCTTAGCGTATTTTGCATGAACTGATAAAATCTGTCTAAATGTTTAATCACAGCAGCAAATGAGTTAACTAAAGCACCAATCACAAGACAGAATGTGCTCTTGTATGTTTCAGGTTAAAGAAGCTGATTGATCAAGAAACTGAGTCCCAGGAGAAGAAAGAGCAAGAAAAGGAGAAGCGGATCACTGCCCTGAAAGAAGAGCTGACCAAGCTGAAATCTTTTGCTTTAATGGTGGTGGATGAACAACAAAGGCTAACAGCGCAGCTCACCCTTCAAAGACAGAAAATCCAAGAGTTGACCACAAGTGCAAAGGAAACACATGCTAAACTAGTCCTTGCTGAAGCCAGAGTTCAGGAAGAAGAGAAGAAGGCAACCAGACTAGAAGAAGAATTGCAAACACAGACCACAAAGTTCCACCAGAACCAAGAGACAATTATGGCAAAGCTCACCAATGAGGACAGTCAAAATCGCCAGCTCCGACAAAAGCTGGCAGCACTCAGCCGGCAAATTGATGAGTTAGAAGAGACAAACAGGTCTTTACGAAAAGCAGAAGAGGAACTACAAGACATAAAAGAAAAAATCAACAAGGGAGAATGCGGAAATGCTGGGATCATGGCTGAGGTGGAAGAGCTCAGGAAACGCGTGCTAGATATGGAAGGGAAAGATGAAGAGCTCATAAAAATGGAGGAGCAATGCCGAGATCTCAACAAGAGGCTCGAGAAGGAAACAGCACAGAGTAAAGATTTTAAGCTAGAGGTCGAAAAACTCAATAAAAGGATTATGGCTCTGGAAAAATTAGAAGATGCTTTCAACAAAAGCAAACAAGAATGCTACTCTCTGAAATGCAATTTAGAAAAAGAAAGAATGACCACAAAGCAGTTGTCTCAAGAACTTGAGAGTCTGAAAATGAGGATCAAAGAGCTAGAAGCCACTGAAAGTCGACTGGAAAAGACAGAATTTACCCTAAAAGAGGATTTAACTAAACTGAAAACATTAACAGTGATGCTCGTAGATGAACGGAAAACAATGAGTGAAAAATTAAAGCAAACTGAAGATAAGTTACAAGCTGCTTCCTCTCAGCTTCAAGTGGAGCAAAATAAAGTAACAACAGTAACTGAGAAATTAATTGAGGAAACTAAAAGGGCCCTCAAGTCCAAAACTGATGTGGAAGAAAAGATGTACAGTGTAACCAAGGAGAGAGATGACCTAAAAAACAAACTGAAAGCAGAAGAAGAGAAAGGAAATGATCTCCTGTCAAAAGTTAATATGCTGAAAAATAGGCTTCAATCACTAGAAGCAACTGAGAAAGATTTCCTAAAAAACAAATTAAATCAAGACTCTGGTAAATCCACAGCAGCATTACACCAGGAAAACAATAAGATTAAAGAGCTCTCTCAAGAAGTAGAAAGACTGAAACTGAAGCTAAAGGATATGAAAGCCATTGAGGATGACCTCATGAAAACAGAAGATGAATATGAGACTCTAGAACGAAGGTACACTAATGAACGAGACAGAGCTCAATTTTTATCTGAGGAGCTGGAACATGTTAAAATGGAACTTGCCAAGTACAAGTTAGCAGAAAAGACAGAGTCCAGTCATGAACAATGGCTTTTCAAAAGGCTTCAAGAAGAAGAAGCAAAGTCAGGGCACCTCTCCAGAGAAGTGGATGCATTAAAAGAGAAAATTCATGAATACATGGCAACTGAGGACCTAATATGTCACCTCCAGGGAGATCATTCAGTTCTGCAGAAGAAACTGAATCAGCAAGAAAACAGAAACAGGGATTTGGGAAGAGAGATTGAAAATCTCACTAAAGAGTTAGAGAGGTACCGGCACTTCAGTAAGAGCCTTCGACCTAGTCTCAATGGAAGAAGAATCTCTGACCCTCAAGTATTTTCTAAAGAAGTTCAAACAGAAGCAGGAGATAACGAACCGCCTGATTACAAGAGCCTCATTCCTTTGGAACGAGCAGTCATCAATGGTCAGTTATATGAGGAAAGTGAGGACAGGGATGAGGACCCTAATGAGGAAGAATCTGTGCTGTCCTTCAAATGCAACCCATCTGCTCCCTGTCCTGTTAACAGGAAGCTATGGATTCCTTGGATGAAATCCAAGGAGGGCCATCCTCAGAATGGAAAAATACAAACTAAACCCAATGGCAACTTTGTGCAACCTGGAGATCTAGTTCTCAGCCACACACCTGGGCAGCCGCTTCATATAAAGGTAACTCCAGACCATGTCCAAAACACAGCCACTCTTGAAATCACAAGTCCAAACACAGAGAGTCCTCACTCTTATACAAGCACTGCGGTAATACCAAACTGTGGCACCCCAAAACAAAGGATAACCATCCTCCAGAATGCATCCATAACACCAGTGAAGTCTAAGACCTCTACTGAATGCCTCATGAATTTAGAGCAAGGCATGTCCCCTGTTGCCATGGCAACCTTTGCCAGAGCGCAGACCCCTGAGTCATGTGGTTCTATAACTCCAGAAAGGACAATGTCACCTATTCAGGTTTTGGCTGTGACTGGTTCAGCTAGCTCTCCTGAGCAGGGACGCTCCCCAGACCCAATAGAAATCAGTGCCAAGCACGCAATTTTCAGAGTCTCCCCAGACCGGCAGTCATCATGGCAATTTCAACGTTCAAATAGTAATAGCTCAAGTGTGATAACTACTGAGGATAATAAAATCCACATTCACTTAGGAAGTCCTTACGTGCAAGCGGTGGCCAGCCCTGTGAGACCTGCCAGTCCTTCAACACCACCGCAGGATAACCGAACTCAAAACTTAACTAATGGGGCACTAAACAAAACAACCAATAAAGTCACCAGCAGTATTACTATCACACCAACAACCACACCTCTTCCTCGACAATCACAAATTACAGTAAGTAATATATATAACTGACCATCCTCACCCTCATCCAGTCCATACTGATAGTCTTGCAAGGAACTCAAGTATTTTTTTAATCATCCCTCTAAATCCCCAAAAGACTGACTGAATTTGTACCTTGGAAAGGCCTGTGCATGAACTATACAAGAGTATCAAAAACTAACTGTTGCCTGCATAGTCATATCAAGTGTGCACTTACTGTATATCTTTTCATTTACATAACTATATGGAAAATATTTAGTCTGCACTTGTATAAATACATCTTTATGTATTTTATTTTCCATAACTCATTTTAATTTGACTGCAACTTGTCTTGGTGAAATACTTTAACATTATAAATCAGTAAATAATTTGTTATTTTTACCATTGCTTGCTGAATTTTCTTTTGCTCATTTTGTTATATTTTTGCATGTACAATGGAATTTTATTTACTGTTGATAACATCTATCAGTTCTTCGTTAAAAACAAATAGGACTTATTTACCTCGTACAGTCAACTTCTGATCACATATTAGAGGAAGAGAAAGTGATTGAAACAAATAAAAATTTACATTTCTTTGATTTTAAAGTGAACTATCAGATCTCCCAGGAAAAAGCTTAATTTCATGGTTGGCCTGTATTTCAGTATCACTGCTGCCCACCACAGTGCATAGCATTTATAAGAAATTTAATGTTTACTGATAACAGTATCATTTGCTTGTTGTGAGTGCATATAAACTGTCAGTGAAAGTAAAAAGCTTTAAATGTGATAGAGGACCAGGGAAAGCACATTTGAAAATACAATTTACCTGGACATCAAGAGTTGACTGTATTTCTACCACAAACCAAAACTCCCATAAATCATACACTTGTATGTCTACATCAAAATCTGGAAACAACCACTATGACATAAACTCTTGAACACTCTGCTTCAAAGCAAAAACTTCATTTTTGTTCCTTTTTCCTAAACAGTTCGAGTTACTTAATGTAGCCACTATTATCCTGCTTTTGAGTAGAATGTATTCAGAAGCTTTTTTTTTAACCTCTCAACAAGGAATAAAAGCAAAAGATAATTATAAATACAAGTTATGGGAAAGGTACATTAAAAAAATCATATAGTATGTTAGTTAAAGGAAGAGATATATTGTGAATTTCTTCTGTGATTATTGTTAGGTCATTTATAAGGTAGGTGAGAAAAACTCAGCTCAAGTGTTCTGCAAATTCTGACACCTGGCTCACAGGTCACCTTGAGCATCATCCATACCAGTGAGCAGAGAACAGCAGCTTTCAGAGAAACATTTTAAATGACAAATCTGGTCCTCAAATCAAGTTCAAATGATTCCAGACATGATATTTTCCTTTTACCAACCTCTTAACCATTAATTCAAGCAGTCAATTTTACTGCCAATTATTGATTATAAACACAATTCATTTAGCTATCCCAGCAAACTGAAAAATCTTCAAGAGTAAAAGAAATCTTTCACAATTATTCTCTGCTAAATCAATTCATGATAGCACAGCAAGGATTTGTTGACAGAAACACTTCCATGGTGATGAACTACAACACCAGTGCTGTGGGCTTGCATCATCATTAAATAAATCTGGGTGAAAGCTGAGGTTGTTGATGAATGAGATAGCTTCTGTTTAAACACATTTATCTTGGGGATCGGCAGTGACCCAACTGTATTACAAAATACATGATGGTCTGGATGTCTTTCAATCTATTTTTAAGTCACCTTGGGCAAGAAGAAAAGGAATTGCATACTTCTTTTTAAGCCCTTTCAAAGTAGATACTATAAATGCTGCTGCATGAGATCATTTCTAGTTAATAATCAAGAGAGCATATGTGATATGTTTTGGAAGACACTGATCAACAGATAGTAAAACTATGAACAGAATCTAGAAAGAATTCCCAACTTTGTCACATAATGGCACTAACAGAAAACATGTATGCATGGCAGGAAACCAATAAAGGGGCAGTGATAACCAGCCAAGGGATTTCTATTACCTAGTTATTCCTGGTTGCCCCAATTCTGGGGGTTGGAGGAAAATCCATTCTTTGCACACTTATAACTAATAGAGTTTGGGAACTCTGGATTAGTCCTCAGCCATCCACTTTGTAAGTATTCAATTTCTTATGTGACCACAGCAATACTCCATAAGGAAGGAATCATAGTCCTGTACTCCATAATTATAATACATAAATTCTCATTTCATTGTATGCACCAGATTTTAACTATAAATAGGTTTCCTAAGTGGTTAATTTAACATAACAGGAAATTTACTGAACCTTCGAACATTACCCCTTTTTAGAGGTCTCTATCCTGGGAGGATTGCTTCAAGTATAATAATTCATGTCCATATTAAAATAAACGTTAAGAGGCTGCTGAATTAATAATTTTGATGTAGATTATTAAAGTGTCCCTAATTAAGTTCATGGTAAATAACATACTATCTGTAAAACCATCTTCTCTATAAAACTCACATAAAATGACATACTCTAGATTTTTAGCTTTTAAATTTTTAAAATTTTATTTCAGAGTCAGAGAAACCGAGAAAAAGAGAGAGGGGAGAGAGAGCACTCCCATCTGCTGATTCACTTCTCAAATCTCCACAAAGGCCTAAGCCAGAAGCAATGAACACCCAGGTCTCCGTGTGGCAAGCAGGAGCCCAATTACTTGAATCATCACCCCTGGTTCCCAGGGCCTACACTGGCAACAAGCTGTAGTCAGGAACTAGAGGCAAGTCTAGAACCCAGGTACTCAGATGTGGAAAGCAGGCTGCTTAACAGGCAACTTAACCAGTACACTAAAGTGTGCCCTTTAGTTGCAGAAACATTTTCTTACATCCTTTGTGTGTGTGTATGTGTGAATGAGTGAGAGAAACAGACTGATCGATCATTTCAGTATTACACAAACACTATTCAGGAGGTCTCCACAACTATATCTTACAATGTCAATTAGGCATGGAGTCCTCATAACATCCAAAGGACAAAATTAGAGGTACTTTGAGATTGTCATAGGAAATACATTTCATTAAAAAAAAGTTAGAAACTTGTAGTCTAAGGCATCTATGATCTTCAATGATTGAAGGGGCTGACACTGTGGCATATCAGGTTAGACTGCTGCCTGCAAAGCTGGCATCCCACATTGGCACCTGTTATAGAGTCAGTCATGGCTGCTCCACTTCCCATCCAGCTCCCTGCTAATGCACCTGGGAAAGCAGCAGAAGACAGCCCAGATGCTTGGGCTCCTGCATCCATGTGAGAGACAGGGAAGCAGCTCTGGGCTTCTGGCTTTGGCCCGGCTGTTATGGCTATTTGGGGAATGAACCAACAAATAAAAGATGGCCCTGGAGCCACTTTCCCTATATCTCAGCATTTTAATGTATTTAACTGTGAAATTGTGATAATACTCACTTTTTGGGGTTGTTGTAAAATGAAACAAAGAACTACTTAAAGACTGTATAAAGATTAGTTTTTCCTCTATGTTATTTTAGTTCACTACCCAGAAGCCTTTTAAAGGAGGACACAGAGCATTCCCTTGCACTTTGTTCAAAGCCCTTCATAATCAGAGCATGCATGATCTCCCTCCCTCCCACTTCTGTAACTGTGCCTTTCAAATAAATAAATCTTAAAAAAAAGAAATATAATGTCAAATGAAAGCATAATTTTAGTAGCTTCTTTGCTTTTGAATGTTTACAAAGTGGGTCTCCTTTTTAAACATGTTAGATAAAAGGAGGCAAACACCTTTCTTTAACCAATACTCTATAGTTTACCTTAATCCTTGGTTTCTGCTATCCTTGAGTATTTGCTCCAAAATAATCATTTTGCTTTGCAATCCCAAGAGAAAAGACAATCATGCAAAAATGCATGCCCAGTCTCTAAATCAGTGTTTTTCAAAATCTAAGACACCTGTATGAAAATCCTAGAGCTATCAAATCAGAATCTCACGGGTTCCCCTAGAGAACTGTAACACACCTCTCTGCTGACTAATCTGTACTATAAAGTTGGAATGCCACTATTTTATAAATCCCTGTATCGATAAACACTGGCAAATATGTTTTTCCTGTAGTCCCACTCAGAATAAATTACACCTGTCCAGAAATTGTGACAATTCTGCCCTCTAGTGGCTGGCATGACAAACAGAAGACATTCTCAGGTTTTCTTCTTGTAAAGGAAAGCTCAAAACAACAACAACAACAACAACAACAAAAAACCTACCAATTTATTGGGAGAGTTCTATTTTCAATGACTATAGCAAAGCAGAGACGCTTGAATCTTTTGCTGAGCTGTCTGACATCTACAAGCTGTGTTTCTCCTCTATATTCCAGGCCCTCAACTTAACTTTGTAGCATGCTCCAGAACACATTAAGGAGAGCAGTTGGTTGAACTAAAACAAAGCATCTATTCACCTCAAGGACAAATGCAAGAAAGGAAAGTGGTTTACTAAAGTCCCCAACACTTAAACCTCCTTTAAATTCATTTTCATGTAGATTAAACTCTAAGCCTTTTCCTTTCCAACTGATGCACTTTTTCTACCATTTACTTCAAGAAGGGTAAAGCTTTTGTAGTCAAATACATCACAAAAGGTATCCCCCAAAGGCAATATGGTAGGGATGGAATCCTTGGAGTCTAAGCAAGCTAACTGGCCAACACCTCCAACTAGTTTATAATTTGATAATGAATTAACATTGCTCAAATGGCAGCACTTCATAAATCTCATCTGTTTATGAAACCTAACCCCTGTGCTCCACTTCAGAGTAATCTTCAAACTCCTAGGGTAGTTACTAGCTATGCAATTCTGTACTGTGCTAATAACTATCTCAACACCTAAACAACTGCCTAGAACAGCAATCAATAATAGCATTCCATTAGGACATCAGGTATTACAATTGGACTGCTACTCACTACCTGTCACACAGCATCCTCTCAGTCATGACAAAAATGTTTTGTTCCCAGAGGTGAGGGTCAAAATAAACCCCCAAGAATCACTATATTAGAGAAATGGACCAACTGACTTTATAAGCCAATTCCACTTTTATATAATTTGCTTTGGGAAAAAAATCAACACCTTATTTGAAAACATAGTCTGGTATGTAGAGATGAGAATCTTCAACACGACTAAATATAAGCCTCAAAGCAAATTTTAAAATCTGCACTGAAGTTTCATCACATCTGGTATGTTTCTTTCTACTCACTGTCACATTGGCCCACAGGATGTTCATACTTGAACATTTATATTTATATTAATACCTTGTACTTTTGTCTCTTTCAAAGATACCATATTATAAATTGGAGCTTTCAGATTAACTAGTGCTTTTCATTTCTCCAGTGCTTTCAGAAGAAATAGAATCTAAATTAACCTTAGTGGGGAAAATGGATTTCAGCAGGATCCTCAAGAACTTTAGACATAACTTCCTCTACCTTTTAGACCTTTCTAAAAAGAGTGCTCTCTGAGGATTTTCAATTTTGTCTGTATTAGTTTACAATCACCACAGGCATGATGTCTTCTATTAGGATACAAACTTTATTCATTCCTCAACAAATCACCTACAAGAATGAACTGACAAACACTTATGAAATATCCACTATTATTTTTTGCTGTTGTAGGCAGTTGTGTAGGTGTTGACATTTGGAATCTAAGGCCAGAGCTAAAATGTAGATACCAGTATAGAGAGAATTGTATAGCCAGTAACTACTTAAAGAGTTTGAAGATTACTCTGTGGTGGAGCTCAGGGCTTACGTTTCAAACAGATGAGATCTGGGCAGGGGCTGAGGATTAGGAAAACTGGAATGGAGGACAAGAGTGTTCCAAACAGGAGCTCACAAGGCGCAGGTGTAATGGCAGGTAGGACAGCGGACAATCAACATTCAAGGAACAATGTGCAGTGCAGTGTGGCTGAAGCTGAGTGGGTTGGGTCAAGAGCTAGAAGGGCATGCTTTGCTCTGATTATGAAGGGCTTTGAACAAAGTGCAAGGGAATGCTCTGTGTCCTCCTTTAAAAGGCTTCTGGGTAGTGAACTAAAGTAACATAAGGGAAAAAACTAATCTTTATACAGTCTTTAAGTAGTTCTTTGTTTCATTTTACAACAATCCCAAAAAGTGAGTATTATCACAATTTCACAGTTAAATACATTAAAATGCTGAGATATAGGGAAAGTGGCTTCAGGGCCATTAGTATGTGACAAAAATGAATAGTGAATGCAAGTCTAGCTTCATTGTCTCATTTTCCTTTCACGGCAACTAAGAAGCTACCTCCATGCAAGGAGAAACATTAAAAATTGCATTTGATTCTTTCCACTACCGATGGTGATAAGCAGTTGCCTAATGTCTACTTATGCTTCATCTCACAAATCAGCCTCTTTAGTTGGAACACTCAAATGCCCCTGAACATATCCAGGTCTTTTCTTTCGTCTTCCCTACTGCTCTACATGGGTAGAATTCCTGTTTCATCAAATGAAATAAGACCCAGAGTCAAAGATCTGGCTTATGGCTTACCTATTCTGAAATCATCCAGGATCACCACAGCCAATGGTGATCTGCCTCTCTTCCAACTGCTCCTGCCACCCTGAAGCCATAGTTAGAATAACAAGAGAAAAGGGATGTTGGGGGCCAATTCCTACAAAAATGGGCAGGATTGGAGAATACTGACAAGGTGATGGTGCTGAGGAAAGGAGATGTTAGATGCAAGACCACAAAGCTCATGTTCTTATAATCAACAGACTGTACTCAGAAAATACAGTGGCTGTGGTCAGTGCCCAACTCCATCTTCAGGCAGGATTCTATAAGCAAGGGGCACAAGTACCTGACCAGCCTCAGGGGAGACTGAAGAGAAAAATATCAGAAGTGAATGAAAATGATCTAGGAAAGTAGCATCACAATCATTCACATCAAAGCTTAGTAAGTAAGGAGGTGGCTACCTTGTTAGTCCTGATAATGATCCTTCCAGAAAAGACAACCAAGAGATCCAGGTCTAGTCACCTTTCAGAAAGTACCACACATTTAGACCCATATTTGGTGTTACTTCTGCCATTGCAGAAACCTAAAAAAAATTGCTAGATGGAGGATCCTAATTTAAGATTTCTATTTCTCAAGTATCACTATTACTAGTAAGGAAAGACTGATGTTCCCAAGATCATTTTTCTTTTAAATAATTGTTGTGTTTTTTCCCAGCTCACAGGAGAAGTGTTAGGCCTCACCTTTGTCAATCTTTCTCTAAATTCTACTTCCAATTCAGGACTACAATAACTGCAAACCCAGGAACATCCCACATAAAAACTGTCATTACAAAAAAATGTCTCCAATTTGGTCCCATGTCTCTCCTCTTAATAATTAAAGAAACACAAAACCCATTTCTAGCAGGTGTTTGGCCTGACAGTTAAGATTCCTGTGTCTCATACTGGAATACTTGGGTTTGAGTCTCAGCTCTGGCTCCCAACTCTACCTTCCTGTTAATGCACACACTCTAGGAGGCAGCAGTGATGGCTCAAGTGTTTGAAAGAACTGAATTGAGTAAGTACCTCCCAGCTCCAGCCCAAGATCCAGCTGTTGCAGCCATTTGCAGAGTGAACCAGTAGATGGGAGCTCTTGGTCTCTCCATCTCTCAAGTAAGAAAAAAAAAAAAAATGAACTACCATAAAACATCACTACCTTCTTCAATACAGTTATTTTTAAAAAATTATTTATTTATTTGAGAGGCAGAGTTACAGACAGAGGGAGAGAGAGAGAGAGAGAGAGAGAGAGAGAGAGAGATCTTCCATCCGTTGGTTTACTCCCCAAATGGCTGCAACGGCCAGAGCTGGGCTGACCCAATGACAGGAGCCAGGAGCTTCCTCCAGGTCTCCTACATGGGTGCAGCGGCCCAAGTATTTGGGCGATCTGCTGCTGCCTTCCCAGGCCGCTATGGATTCAAAGAGCAGCCTGGACACAAACTGGCACCACAGGCAGAGACTTAACTTACTATGCCACAGCACGGGCCCCACAGTTACTTTTTAAACAACACAAATTCTTCAAGAATACAGTAATATCCTTCGGTATTAACAAATCAGCTAGGTTTATTTCTTCTTTTTAAAAAAATAAATGAAAGTTATTTCTTATCTGTTCTGTTGTTCCTGCCTGAATACACCTGTATCAGTCACTTTTTAAACCACAGAAAATTTTAGAAAGAGGAGCTAATTAAAAACTGCAGAACTTCAAAGAGTCTTTAGCCTAAGAGGTAAACCATTCCTTCAGGGCAATAAGCAGGGAGTCAGTGGTAGGGATCACACTGCAATGTACAACATCTCTTATAGTAACATTTGTAAGCAGCCCATTTATTCTACATAAAACTTTTTTTTCTGGTTATAATAATACAAATTTATTACAGCAACCTTGGAAAATGTAAGTGCTTTTGAGGCTGCTGCTTTTGGCTCCTAAGAAGGGTAATGAGAAGACTATGAAGAACAATGGACAATTATTAATACTTTTTCAGAGACAAACCTATCAACTACGGCCCTATTCCAGGTTTTTCTCAGATTGCCAATGAGGAAGGAAATTCACTTGGTGGGAAAGGGGGGCCATCCTGCCCTTACTGCAATTCCCCTGTGCCAGAAAGTGGCAAATTCTTCCACAGAGTACAAGGTTTATGTAATCTGTCTGCTCAGTCCAGACACAATGGCTAAGGGGTCAGCCAGGTCACTGAAGGAGAGGGGCAGGATTTCCTTTCCCCTAGCAGTCCAATTCCTGCTGCAATAATGGTAAAATCACTGCACATTGTTCAAGTACTGGGAAGAAATGTACAGTTGTTCTAAGATGTAAGACTGAGAAGAAGTGAAAAAATTGAATGGGTCCAAATGAAAGAAAAAGAAGGGAGAGCGGGGGAGAAAGGGTATCAGTACAGGAAAGAAAAGAAAAAAAAAAGCCGAGATGAAAGAAAACCCTCACAGACGAATGAAAGAAAGAAGATAAACAAGTTAGACAACAATCAGGTTCATATATTTTAAGTTAACAAAGTATTTCTACATGTGATGCTCTATGTCTGGCACAAATGAAAACCACGGAGTTAGGAAGGATTCTAAAAACTATAATTCAGTGTTTATTCTTGGCTTGCCCCCACTGTCCATTATGTAGTTACCACAGAAAGGCAGATGGAGAGGTGACTAGGTGTGACCACAAACCACAATACGTTATAGAACTTTCACCTCAGAAACTGGACAACTCTGTGATATAAAACATAGCAGTGAAACACTATTTAAAACTAAAGGTAGCTAATCAAATTATAGGATCCCTTGCAGTGTAAAACTAAAGCTTTTAGTGATAAGGTTTTATTACATAATGAAGAAATCCTGAGAAAATCAGGGGAAAAAAGCCAAAGCAGCATAAGAAACTTTGGGCTATTTGCCATATTCATTATCTGTTATTTCTATTCCCCCTCCCCAACACAAATTAGCTGTGATTTGCCAAAAAATATAAAAGACAAAAGAAGATAAAGCAGTAATTTTTTGAAGCAATTTTTCTCCAGTTTAGCATTTCCTCCTTTTCACCACCATATCCATCATCATTACTTATGTACTTTCCCACTGAACACTGAGATAAAAACAAAAATACAAAAACACTGTCATTCTGATAACATGGCCTTGACCAAGCATTCCACAGCTGGGACCCTTTGGAAGTCCAGAAGCCCTGAATCTAGTCTTTCCCCGACTTGTCCTCAATTACCACAAATCAAAATAACCCAGGTCCTTGGGAGTCTTGAACCTTTCAATCCTTAGAGGTCAAGGTGTGATGAGGGGCCCTGCAGTCCCAGGGGTCAGGATCATTCCTGAAGGGACACAGTATGTTGACAACACAGCTTCAGAAAGTTCAAAGTACTCACAAAATTCATTTTGAGAAAGGAAACATCCTGACTCCAGCTGTCAAATTAGGATTTGATAGCTTTTTCATAAATGCTGGTTTTGCTCTGGTATATTTCCAAACTTCAGCCTTCCATGATAATGTGAAAGAACACAAGGGTCATGTAGAAACTGGTTGAGAGAACTGCGACTTTGACTACAACTGAAAACACGTCACCTTGGGTGCAATCTGTTGAAATCTTTACTTAGTATATACTAAGCTGATCTTCTATATATAAAGATAATGAAAAATGAATCTTAATGAAGAATGGGATGGGAGAGGGAGTAGGAGATGGGATGGTTTGCGGGTGGGAGGGTGGTTATGGGGAGAAAAAACCACTATAATCCAAAAGTTGTACTTCCGAAATTTATATTTATTAAATAAAAGTTTTCTAAAAAAAAAAAAAAAAAAAAAAGAATGAATGAATGAAAAAAAGAAAACATGTCATCTAAACTTCTTTTGGCCACTAAGGCTCCCTGTCATCCAGTGACTCACAGCAACCAGGGAATCTTGCAGATTGCTAGGTTTCTTTTTAGAACTTAGGGACAAAATAAGCCAACACTTAGAATTTAATGAATACATTCCACAGATAGATTTCTTTTCCTCCTACTGCTCCCTTGATAGAACCATTGCCTCTGCCTCAGCATCCCTCATACTTGTAATCCATTCCAAATCTCAACTTCCTTGTTAAGCTGAATTGAGCATTTTTTTAAAAAAGTCTTTTTCTTTTATGAATGAGCTTTCCAATTTATTTAATCTCCTTCAAAACATCTGCTTTCTGATGAAACCCAGAGATTCCTACTTGGAGTAGAGCATTTGCTGTGTGGTCTTAAAAGAGCCATATGCATGGATTCCTCCTGCAATATATACTCCAAATTTGGATAAAACAAACTTACTTGGAGCTCTTTGACATGATGCTCTATAAAAATGATCCAAGACATGACACATTTTAAAGCTGCATACCTCATTTATTGAAAAATGTCCAAGTATAAAATTCATACGATAAAAAAAACAGCATCTTTTTTATTTTTTGGAAATAACATTTAGAGTTGTCCTAATAAAGTAACCAGCCTTTGCTGCCATCTAGAGGTTAAAGCTATGTAGCTAAATCAGAATTACCAAGAAAAGCACAAAGCTTACAGCATGAACAGTACAAAAACAGAAACTCACTAACTATTGGGCAGTCAGCTCCTATAAATGTCCACCATCCCAAGTCACATTTTCTTTTCCAACACATATCACTGTTGCTTAAAAGAAATAAGCTCACCTATACTGTATTCTTTGTGAATTGGTTTGCTGAACAGATTTAATAAACTGTGGTGCTCACTAAAAATTCATATGCCCATAATTCCACTCCTAGACAATCTTAAATCCAAGTTCAACATCTGGGCCTTTGCCCAGATTTTAAAAGCCCCACAGATGATTCTGATGAGCATTCTTCAAGGTCACCACTGGCCCCCAATGCCCTGGGCTATCACAGTGCTGGACTATCTACTGGGCCAGAGTCCCACATAAAAGAAATCTTAAAGCTCATGTCTAAAAAAGGTTCAGCTACGCAATTACTTCCTCAAAGTGTGGTGGGCTAACCACCTACATTAGAATAAATTACCTTGAGTATATGTTAAAAATGTGGATCTCAGGGCATATCCACAGACAAATGAATTACAATATCTAAGGGAGAGGCCCAGGAATATACAATTAAGAAAGTAAATCTACAATTTAAGATTCCAACAAAGATTTTTTTACACTAAATTGGCTAACCAATGTAAATCTTGACAAAGTTTATCACGGAAACCTATCTTGGACAGGCTATTACTAATTCTATGGTCATATTATCAGCACATTTGATCAGTCCATCACTTATTTCAACTACAAATAACATGGCTGATGTTCACAGAAATGTCCTAATCTCTGAGATATATCACTCCTTTTCTAATCTCTTAATACGTTAGTACTGCTTTTTATACTTGTAATACTTATTATAGAAAGTATAGAGAATGCAGATAATGTAAGAAAAATAAAAAGGATCTATAACCCCACTTGCCAGAGTTAAATGCTAACAGCATGAGTACGTTTTCTTCTAGCATTTTCTCTTCAGGCATAGGTATTTAAAACATGTATACAGTTTTTTATCTTGCTTTTTGATACTTCTAAATAAATATTTTCCTACATCTTCAAAGCATTATTGTTTAAAGATAATCTATTTCACTGTGATGATACTGTAATTCACTAGCAGTTTTAAACTGTGTCCATTTTCATTATATTCCTAAAATAAACATCATTGTCTGCCTCTCCGATTATTTCCTAGAAAAGATTTGAACAACAAAATGCCTAAGTCAGAGAGTGTGAGTTCTACAGAACTTAATCACTTCTATAATCATGGTTGAAGCTGCTCATCTCATGAAACCCTTACTGGTGTGTGGAGTTCTATTTTTCTAAAACAAAAACAAAACATAAAAGCTTTGGCTATTTGAGAGATAAAAATGTTAAAGCAGCACTTCAGCACTGAAGATAAGTATACCATGAAATCAAATTGAACTATAGGAATACCATTAGATAACATCAGAGTATCAACATCTCATTTGCTATGTGTAAGACTGAGTACCAAAAATAAGACAACTAAAACCAAAACACCCTTGTAGTATCCAGGCACAGAGAATATTGACTAAATGTTCCAAAACAAAACATATTCCCCATTTAGTGTATCCATAATTGAAGGACACAAATCTTTTTTTTTTTTAAGATGTATTTATTTATTTGAAAGGCAGAGTTACAGGGAGGCAGAGGCAGAGAAAAGTGAGAAAAGTCCTCTATTCACTGGTTCACTGCCCTGATGGCTGTAACAGCCGGAGCTTGGCAGATCCCTGAAGCCAGGAGCCAGTAGCTTCTTTTGGGTCTCCCACGAAGGTGCAGGGCACAAAGGACTTGGACTATCTTCCACTGCTTTCCCAGGCCAAAGCAGAGAGCTGGATAGGAGGAGAAGCAGCCAGTACTAGAACCAGCACCCATATGGGATGCCTGCATGGCAGGTGGCAGCTTTTCCCACTATGCCACAGTGCCCGCCCCATGGGGCACAAAGTTTTAGCTCTGTATAGATTCAGATTATTAAAATGTTTGGGGATTGTACAAATAAGTGAATGCGACTATTAAATCCTAATCGCTATTGCATCTTTCATTAAATCTTCACTAAGAAGATTATATATATTCGTAGTGTCTTATCAAAGAATATGTCCAAGACTTTCCCTTATGTTTTGTTAGCAATCCCAACAGGTAATGCCTAACCTCTTGCTTCCCATCAAGTACTTTCTTTCCTTTTAGCTAAGTGGATTTCAAACTCTTTACTATGATCCATGCCCCCATTAAAAAAAAAAAGCATGTTGAAACTTAAGCCAGTATGTACATGCACATATACACATACATAAATTGCAACAATATTCATATATTTTAGTACAAGCAATGCATTTTGATGTTCTCATTCTAGTCTATTCTATCTCATTTTAACATTCATGAATAGAGATACAGCTAACACATTTTAACCAAATACTCAATGGTTAAGAGTTAAAATTACATATTCAAGTTAAATAAATGTTGAAGCTCATAACATCAGGTTGTATTTTTGAGATATTACAATAAAATTAAAACCCTATATATGCACAACTCATATACATGTGAATGGATATATAAGGAGATAAAGGGACTTTGCTGTACTTTGTCAATACAACGAAAAGGCAGAGATAAATTCCCATAGAACAAAAAGCAACATAAGATATACTCTCATAACAACAGTATAAGAAATCTATGATGAAAACTAATGTATTTTAAGATTTCTTTAAAAGTAATTGTTATTTATGAATATATATATGGAAAGAATGAGGCAATCAAAGAGAAAAATAATAATTGACTCTGGGTTGTAAGGGGACATCTACAGTTAACTAACACCTTTCCCCATCGCTTTACCAGTAAGCATTCTCATCTAAAAGCATTTTTTCATAAACATGAAAATAAAGAATATATTTCTGAGCAAATCTGAACTCAATCAATCCTTCACTCGTTCGTACTACATTAACCCACTTTCACAATCCAGACCATTTGACCTGTCACTGCTCTTTCATTCTGCGTAAGTTAGTCAGTAAATTAATATAATACAACACCAATACAATTTCACCTCCACAATGTATCTTCTGAACCCACTTTCCTAGAGGTGCAATTTCCCCTATCTGGCTACAGTTTACATTCCCATCCTTCCTCTCAAATGCAACCTAACTTGAAGTTACTCCACTTCTCAACTCAGTTTGAAACTTTCCTACCTCAGGGCTATTGCCAAAATATTCACTCATCCTGTTACCAAAAGCATTCTCTTACCCTGGAATGCCTTCCCTCATCCTTGCCGTCAAAAATCCTAAAAGGCTTTAAAGGAAAAATCAAACACACTTTCCTCATGAAATTCCCCAAGACCAGCCAGTTGAAATTAACCTTTTTCTGACAATCTCTTGGCTCTTGGTTGAGATTAATTTGGGACACTGCTATCTCCCACTATACCACCACCAAAGAAAAATAATCTATCATTGTACTTACCATTAGTAAAGGCCTTCTTTCAGGCATATATTCAAGATATGTTGGCAGAATTGCTTTTCTGCATTTATTAACTTCATAATCTTTAATCTGATGTGTTCCCAGAACATAGTGTTTTCAAAACCAAATCCTGGAGCCTGACTCTATGTTCTGAATGTCTAATTCCCCTACCAACTGTACCATTAACTATCTTTTTTTTTTTTTTTTAATACTTAAAGATCAAAGAGGTGTGCAAGCAGAGAATCCCAACACGGATCCCTAAACCAAAATCTACAGGTGTCAATAAGATTTCCAGTAAAGGCCCCCAGGGACTTATGGACAAGCCGTATCACCAAAATGGTTGTGGGAAGCTACATATCGTAAGGACTGTTACCTCCAACACTTTCCTCCACATGGGAGGGAGGAGGTAAGTCACACCAATGTACTACCTGGACACATTCATCTACAGAGGTATCTGGAAAGAGAATTACCGCTGAAGAAGGCCTAAGAGGAAGGACCATGTCTTCGAGAAATGGTGAAGCAGCAAACTGACACAAGGGTCATTCATGGATAGGTGGCCCTGGTGAAGATCATCCTGACAGAGCAGAACAACATTTCTAGAACTATTTTACCTCTCTAAGAATATTTGCATAAACATACAATTGGAGGTCTAGACTCATACTGCAAATTCACCTAATTCCTCTTCCTACTTGTAATCCAACCCAAAGCTGGACTATCTATCATCAGCCTGGAATAGGATTGAATTCAAGACTTTCCTGGTGAACACAAAAGCTGTCTTTTAGTCCACAGAACTTTATAGAATAACCACATTTTGCTAAGGAAATATGCTAGCAAGAATTCTTAATCTGCTTCAAGAGACAGATTTCCATCAATATGGCAGCACAATTAGAAAACATATTTCAAGGCCCACAACTATGATGTCTGTAAGACCAAGAAGAAAGAAAAGTGGTTAACTTTTAGTTACAAGAAGGGGAAAAAAAAAAAACAAAAAAAAACAAAAATGAGTAATAGCTGAATATATCCCTTGTGGGGTCCACCCAACAATCTCTGGTGTATCATTATGTGCTTTTTTGCTGGCCCTTGGTCTTCTGTCCCATTTTTCTAAAAGGTCTCCATTCCTGTAATACCAGGCCATGGAATTATATAGCCAAGCTTGTAAGACAAACCATTTTAGACTGATATTGTGATTTCTATAGCAATCAAGTATTTGAGATCAAAGATCAATAATACTGACTTTTTTAGGAAGCTATAAAGCACTGTTATAAATGTGGGTTTTTTTTGTTTTAAAGATTTACTTATTTATTTGAAGGTCAGAGTTACAGAGAGAGGAGAGACAGAGACAGAGAGAGGTCTTCCATCCACTGGTTCACTCCCCAATTGGCCGCAACAGCTGGAGCTGAGCCCATCTGGAGCCTGGAGCCAGGAGCTTCTTCCAGGTCTCCCATGCAGTTGAGGGGCCCAAGGACTTAGGCCATCTTCTACTGCTTTCCCAGGTCATAGCAGAGAGCTGGTTTGGAAGTGGAGCAGTCGGGACTCAAACTGGTGTCCATATGGGATGCCAGCACTGAAGGCAGCGGCTTTACCTGCTACGCCACAGCACTGGCGCCCCATAAATGTGTTTTTTTTGTTTTGTTTTTTTTTTTTTGACACATAGAGTTAGACAGTGAGAGAGAGAGAGAGAAAGGTCTTCCTTCTGTTGGTTCACCCACCAAATGGCTGCTACGGCCGGCACTGCACCGATCCAAAGCCAGGAGCCAGGTGCTTCTTCATGGTCTCCCATTGCGGGTGCAGGGGCCCAACCACCTGGGCCATCCTCCACTGCCTTCCTGGGCCACAGCAGAGCGCTGGACTGGAAGAGGAGCAACTGGGACTAGAACCTGGCACCCAAATGGGATGCCAGCACCACAGGCGGAGGATTAACCAAGTGAGCCATGGCACCGGCCCATTCTATAAATTAATCAGCATTATAGAAAAATCTGTCATTACAACAAATGTTTGGTATTAGAAGACTCAAATTCCAATCCTACATTTTCACCCATGGGACACTGAACCCAGCATTCATCAGTCTAAATCTCAGTGTCTCAGGAAAATGGAATAATTCCTCAAGTCCTTTCTATTTCTGATAGGAAGATGCTCAACTAGAGAATGTTGAGTTCAAACAGCAATCTGTAAGACTTCACACAGTCCTCTGGCAGTAAGCTGTTTCACACTGAAAACTCTCTCACTGAATCAAGAAAAAGTGTGCCTATAATTCAGTATGGACTTATAACACAATGACATTTTAAGACAAATAAGACATTTTCGACACAGAAGACAGTTATATTTCATAAAGCTTCAGTCAGTGGGAAAAAACAAATGAAGAGTACAATCCAAGGTTTTCTGTGACCTTTTACCAAAAACTGGAGGCATAAACCAGGAAGAAATCCTTGTGGATAAAGATTACTTCAGCTGGCTGTCCTGGGATGTGCCAGCAGGAGGAGGAATGGGAATGCCATTCCCAATACTTATCTAACAAAACCTGCATCAATGCACTGTGGCCTCTATATAAACACCCCAGGGCCCATCGGTTTTAATGAGGAGAAGGAGCTGGAAGCCTGGCAGCACTGAGCCATGCAGCACTGAGAGGGAGAAGGTGCAGCAGTTCCAGCAGTGGCAAAAGGAGAGGGTGGAGAGACCAAGTGAACTAAAAGTATAAAAGGCAAAAGTCTAAGTTTATAAAGGAAAGCAGACAGAGAATAGTGAGAGGGAATCCACTTAAAAAAGATGATAAAGAACTTACACCAAAAAAAAATACATGGATGTGTGGGGTGCTTAGCACTATACCTGACATGAAGCACTCATTTGCTAAACCTTCAATGAACAGAGGATGAAAGAATGAAG